TTCCCTGAAAAGGCAGTATCAGGCCTGGACAGTCCCCACATCCCTTTCTCTTCTCCCCAGTTGGCCATTACCGATTGGGACAGGGAAGAGGATGTGGTCATCGGTGAGGCCCAGGGATTTGGAGAAGCGAACGAAGTCCTCCTTCAGCTCAGGGGTCAGCTCTTTGGTCCTCCCTGTGGTCAAGAAGGCAGGTGAGTGGCCGGCAGATACTCCATAAATATTGTCCAATGCATGAATGAGCCTCAGACCCCCTTACTCACGGAGAGTCTGTGAAAAGCCCTCCCTCCTCCCTGGGGCTCAGAGCAAAGCTGGCACTGGAGGGGACCGCGGGGTCTGGGTCAGGGGTCACACACCCCTTGAGTGTGACCAGGAGCTGGGACCCTCATGCGGTGGGTGGAGACCCACCGTAAAGGGTGATCTTGAAGTACTCCTTGTTTTTGGAAACCTTCTTGAAGAACACCATGGCGAACTGGCGGTAGTTGGTGGCTACCACTCGCACGGTATAGCTCTGCACTTCAGGGTAAGCTGTGGGGAGGACAGTGAGCGGTCAGCCCTGGCTGGGAGGACTGAGCAGCTCCTTTCCCCCCAGCCCTCTACAGGACAGCATCTGTGTGGAGGTGCAGGTGGGTCTGTGTCCCCTCTGGGAGGATCCCGCCCCCAGGAACCCCAATCCCAGGGCCCAGATCACTCAGGGCATACCCTTAATGTTGCCCAGGCTGAACTGGCCGGGTTGGAAACTTGGAACAAAAGTTCTGATAAAGTAGTCACAGTTTTGGTCCCTGTGGGAGCAAGAAATGTGTGGGTGAGTGGGGAGACGCACAGGCTTGGACCCCCCGGGCTGGACGAGGTCAGGGCTGCAGCTGGCGGAGCCGGGATCCTGGTGCCTCGGGTCCAGCCCAGCCCATCCCCCACCGCGGTAGAAGGCTGAGTCTTCTCCTCTGAGCCTATCTTTGGCTGTCCCTGCCAGGGTCTGCCTTGGGCCACCTGACCCTGCTCAGACCCTCCCTCGAGCCCCCACTGCCCTGCCCAGAGCAGACACTCAATGGCTCGGTGGCGCTGCCTGGAGGAGTGGCCCTCTAACTTGGAGTCTGCCAGCCCCAGCTGTGAATACACCACATGACCTTCTGAGGCAGGGTGGCTCCTTCAAGGCCCAGCCCAGAGGCCACTTTCCCAGAAGCCCCTAATGAAGTCCTGGCTAGGGTTCCAGTGACCCTCCTCCAGGACATCCCTGCTCCCTCTGTCTTATTTCCTGAGGACTCTCTCTATCCACCCCCACTACTATCTGCGTGTCTGCGCTGAAGTAACCAATAAATACTGATCTAATCAAGGAAGGACGGAAGGAAGGAAGGAAGGACGGAAGGAAGGAAGGAAGGAAGGAAGGAAGGAAGGAAGGAAGGAAGGAAGGAAGGAAGGA